GATATATTTCAACTCCATAGTCCCTCTACTTTGATAACACTCATCCCATATCGAGTAAGCTCGTGTACCATTAGAAAAAATAAAAGTAACATGAATGAGTATAAAAATATTCTTTAAGTAGCTCACTTTTGGTTTTCAATCATCCAAAAATCATATTATGAATCTCTATAATATGTAGAACCGGGAATGATTTCTAATTAACATATGAGAGGATCATGTTTAGGAAATAACTTAAGGGTCTATAGTATACGGATTGTAACGACCCAAAATTTTCTACTTAATTTAAGGTCGCTACTGTATACGTATGATAACTCTTTAAAAGTAGAGTCATATCAAGTATTTTTGTATTTAATATGTCACTCGTATTCACCATTTTCTCATTATTTACCCCATTTATTCTACTTAGTGAGCATAAAATCGTTTATTGCGGTCCATGAAAAAAAATATGATTTTGCATAAATCGATTTTAATTATACATTTAATTGAGTTATGTGGTAAAATTTCGGACATTTATGTTGAACCATGAGGGAGTAGCAAATCTGGAAATAAATGGGGGATGACATGGAAATTTTAAATCCACATCAGCAGTCCAAGTGGGTCATTGATTACTGAATGAGGAACATCTATGTGGACAACTTATTTCTTTTCAGCCCTAAAGGCCCAATAAATAACTGGACAACTTATTCATTTTCAGCTCTATGAACTCATGCTCAATATAAAAGGAAAAGGAAGACCAAGAATAGAGAGCCACATTTTCGGGAGAAAATCGAATTACACAGCACCAGCCTCTGCTGAAGTGAACTGCTGTGAAACTAGAGAAGAAGAAGAAAACCCTAATCCAGCAGCGGTTGACAGCAGATGGAAAAGGAGACCAACAAGGATTGATTAGGGCAAAGAGGTGGACGTGAGAGCTCAAGAGAAGGGAACTTCCATTGACGAACGACAACAAACCGAGATAACTCTCTATTTCCTTATTCTCTTTCCTTATTCCATCAATTTTACATGATGAAGATGCAGATTCCTCCGTTTAATTCAGTTTGGATGGAGAGCTAAACTTAATAGGGGAGGCGAGAGAGTTTTATATAGCTTAAGTATGTTGACGGTATGATTTTAGTTTATTAAAGAGTTGTTGTTAATGATTTACATGTATGTTTAATTAGCTTCTTTACATACATAGTTGCTCTCTTATTCGGGAGAAGGGAGGGAGCAATGAAATCCTCTTTAATACTCTAATTCCATAGCAAGGAGACTTGAAGGGTAATAGAAGGGTTAGGAATAATTCTTCTCCTAGAATCTTTTTAATAGAAATTACAACGATTATGGAAATAATCATCATTCGTGACCCTCCGAAGTGGGCTAGAGAATCTATTAAAAGAAACTAAAATCTACCACAAAACTCAACAACTTATCTATTTAATCTCTCTTAGGTGAACCTCCTCATTATAGTTGATTTTCTCATCATTTTCTATTTTTCGACAGCAGTGTTACTCTGTTTTAGTTTTATTTAAATAGTTAAAATCTCCAACTCCCATTAGAATGTTACCAAAAAACTCACGATTTCCAGCCATAAAATTAACCAAAAAGATAGGTTTCCTATGGAATCGATAATTTACTTATTACTTGCTACTTGTGATAGTGTATACTTGCACTTATTCTTGTGAATTTTACTATCATTTTATTATATACATCCACAAGCGATCAAGTTTTTCGAAAACATTGAATGCAGAAGACTTCATTTAAAATTCCATAAAACATAACCTTTATCTTAAAACACAGCCATGGACTTACGTGTTTCAAAAACATCTTTAAAACGACACAACAAAAGAACCCAAAATAAAATAAATAAGCGTTTAAGTTAAAGACATCTTATTCTAGCCTAAGTCTAAGAAAATAAATACCACTATCCTATACATGTGTCATGGTCTCAAGTTGCGACGCCGTCGTCAGCCGTCCAAGAATGTCTTGCCTTAACCGAAAAAATGTAGTAGCACATGGCTTGAGTATTTAAAGAAATACTTAGTAAGTGACCCACTATTGGGGTTAAATGCAACAATCACATGCAATGAGATGATGAGACCTATCTTTCATTCCGTTTTCCCTACGTTGCTGTCCTAACGAGTAATTTTGGACGTGTACCATATACTCTACACAAAGCCCATAGGTGCAAGTATGGGCTCACGAGCTAGTTCGTACACCGCTGGGCCACCTTCCTTATTCGGTGGGCATATTCTGGGAGCCCTTAGGCCGGACACCCGCTAGAACTAATAACCGTCACGGCAGCGCTATGCAAAACATAACGATCGTTGTCCTGCCATTGGATGTACGTGTCCGTACCCTCGTGATGGGATAGGGGTATCCCCCAAATGCATGAGCACACATAATGCATGAGGTCCCAAAACTTTTCCATTTTCATTATCCTTTAATACAACCCCACTAGAATTATGTACATATCGTATCATTTTTCATATCATATCAGATATCGTTCATCATTCACATCATATCGTTTCTCATTCTTCAATTCTCAAATCATCATAATTCTAACAGGATTATATTTCATGTCATTTATCGTAATTTCATGTCACTCATATCATGCTGTATACACATAATTTAAGAGACCTGACATAACATTTCATCATATACACATCATACCATGACATATTGCATCACAATGTATCATACCATAAACAAGTCATAACGTAAACACTTCATAGTCATATCGTTCTCTAACTTATCATAGCCTTAACGTTCTTATATCTATCACAGACATATCATTACGTGAACGTACCTTAGTCATATCATCACAAGAACGTATCCTAACGTTATCGTTCTATCAATCCTAACGCTATCGTTCTATTAATCTATCACAAACCTATCCCTTTCTACCTGTAACCTAATCGTATTCTTCCATCAATCTCTCTTGTCCATATCACTCCGGTATGTAACCTAACCTTAACGTTTCATGAATGTATTTTACTCCTTTCGTTACATTTCGTTTTGTGCATCTTTCTCGTATCCTATCTCAAACATATCCTTGAACACATTGTACCGTAATTATTATCATACAATTGACATATTATAACATAACATAAACATAAACATATTATAAGCATACTGATTCACAGATAATTCACACATATTAGTATATATGACACGTGCAGAACCACAGGCACTTGTCAACATCAAATATAACCATGCCGATAGTAAGGCCACTTACCTGGTTAGTTTAAGTCGTTGTCACCAATATATCCTTAATGAAAGTTTGATTCCGTCATTTGAAATCCAAGTCAACCTATGTGAGCCCATGAATCAGTTTCAAGTTTGAACTCTATAAAATTATTTCCCTAATTTACATTGCCATTGTTAAATTCTGATATTTACTGTTAGACGAAATTTAATGAAGTTCCTTGCCCTCTGATATGTCCTGTTTTACTTTTTAAATTCTGTTCAACAATCTTTCTTCAATCTTCCCTCTTCCTCGGTAATTATTTTCATCTATTCTTACTTCCAAATCTGCCATTTTTATTTTTATTTTTTTCTTTTCTTTTCTTTTTAGTTAACAGTATTCTGATTTCCATCTCTATTTCATTTTTTCTTATTTCCTTTTGTCTCCTTGTGATTTAGTTAACAGTTATATTCTTAGCTTTTAATTTAATCTATTCATTTGGTTATATTCTTTTTCTATAATTCATATAAAATTATTGACGATCTAAATCATTGCAACAATTCAGCAGATCTAAAATATAATTGGGTGTGATTTCCTAAAACTCATACAAAATTCTTTTCCTTTAATCTCTAATTCAAAAGTAAATAATTGTAACAAAAGATTTAACATACTACTATTGATCTCTTCAAATGACATATCTGTTAGGGCCGAACTAAATCTGCTTAAACTTTTGTTTTTTTTTTTTTGTTTTTGTTTTTTCTATTTGTTTTTGTAGGAAGGAAGAAATTCTGATATGGGTAAATCTGCCTGGAACGAGTGGTCAGAGATTGAAGAAGGAGGATCCGTTACCAAATGTTTTTTTTTAAATTTTTATTATTTATTTTTTTTATTATTTTATTATTATTATTATTATTATTACTATTTTATTTTATTTTTTCGGTTATTACAAGGATAAATTTGGGTGTCTTATCTTGGCAACACAATTGTACAAATGATTTGATACAAATCGTTCGTATGAAGATATGTGATTGAAAGCGTGGAAAACCCTGCATGGAGGACTAAAGCTACTCTTAGGAAGAGAGTGGGAGAGATAGAAGAGTCTATGCAGTCTTATATATGTCGAGGCCTAACTTAACCACCGAGTGGTCAAGAACATTATTATCAACTTTGGAGGCACCCATAACTTTATGACGGAGACCGAAGTGAAACACTTGAATATCCTTTGGCACCGAGACATAGGACAAATGAGTTTCTCATAGTGAATTTTAAAAGTAGTGGGCATGCTTGGGTCGTGTATAAGGAAGTACTACACCCCAACCTTAATCAGACTGGAAAAAAAACAAAAAAAAAAAACCTAAGATAATGTCATTATATTTTTAAAATGATAAGTCCCACCATATCGCATGCAATTGCATTTTTTGGCTCTAACAGAAGGGCTACTTACAGATGATAGTGTTATTAAGCCAAAATTAAGATATCTGCATTCATGTCTATTTGGTAACCCTTGTGTTAGATAAGATCTTGATTTATTTAATTTGAATACACGTTATTTATATTCCATCTCTTTATTTTATCACAGTATTGTTTGACAGTAAGTTGATATTTTGTAATTTTATTTATTAAAAAGAAAATATCATGAATGTTTTAACTCAAGATAAGATGGTCATCGATGAGGTTTTAGTTTTATTTGGCAACCTCCGAATTTATCTCTCAAAACTATGCACCATTTTTCTTGTTTTTGCACCTTCCTTCCTAATTTGTGTTTATAAATAATTTTTTTATTCAATTCATGCGTTCTTAATTTGTGTCTATAAATATGTTTGAAAGAATGGGTTTTTCATATCATACAACAACTTGGTTCTTCTCTCTTGCTACATATTCCTATTTGGTATTATGATGATGAAGACTTTGAGCATCCTTTTGATTTTTTCGTTGCTAAGCAATGGAAATTTGCTTGGACGGGTAGAAGCAAGGTCTCTCAATACGATGAGTGCAGCAACTACGGACGATTTCTTGCCCATACCACCCATTGGAACTCTGAAGCAGTCTACTTTGAGCATTGGTGAGGGCCACAACTTCAATGATGCCAATACTCTTGCTAATGTCAAAGCATCTGGCCCAAGCCCGAAAGGCGGTGGCCATCAGGGCCACAACTTCAATGATGTCGATACTCTTGCTAATGTCAAAGCATCTGGCCCAAGCCCGAAAGGCGGTGGCCATCAAGGCCACAACTTCAATGATGTCAATACTCTTGCTAATGTCAAAGTATCTGGCCCAAGCCCGAAAGGCGGTGGCCATCAGGGCCACAACTTCAATGATGCCAATACTCTTGCTAATGTCAAAGCATCTGGCCCAAGCCCGAAAGGCGGTGGCCATAAGGGATGTTGTTAATGATCGAGCTTTTTAATGTTTAGACAATTATCGCTTTTAACACAGGGAATAAAGAGAGATTTTATTAATATGAAACAACTTATATTTTTCATAAAACTCAAATAGTGCATGTTATTAAAAAAACGCTAGGGATCCCATAAAATATTTAGATTTAACATTTGAAGTAGATAATTTTAATCAATCCATGTATAAAGCTCGTAAAATGGTTTCGCAGTGTAGAATTCACATAATCTAAGAGTTCTAGAATCTACAAAAGATGCTGATATATTTCAACTCCATAGTCCCAATACTCCGATAACACTCATCCCATACCGAATAAGCTCATGTACCATTTGAAAAGAAAAAAAAAAAAAAAA